GATCCGCTAGTATGTTATAAGTTTAAATCTAAAGAAAATTTTACTAGAAAAAAATCTACGTGGTCTAGGCAGCAGACGGAACTCGAACCCGCACCCTTCGCCATCCGGGTGAATGCACTGACCATTATGCTACCACCGCCCGGATGGCCGCGTCGAATTTTGTCTAGCCTTTCCTAGGCTGCCTAGGCCGCTTTAAACATCTTTAGATTTAAACATCTAGCAGTTCAATGCTTAAAAAACAAAACGTTACAAGTTGTCAACCCTAGCATCAGCTGTCTTCCTACAAGCATCGATCGATTCAGCAGCAGCGATCATGCGCGTGGGCACTCTTCATACATCTGTCCTCCACCCATTATCATGTATTGCCTAAACGGGTGCTAATCAATGACATATAATACACTTCCTATATTATGTCATTATCATAAATTTAAAGGTCTTCCTATGTGGAGGACATAGAATTTTCGTACGGCCTATATTTTTTTGCTTTCATTACGGCCAACTTATCATAGTAGCTACAGTTGAAGTAATTTGGATAGTGCTGTCGACTCTAGCATGATCCTCTTAACTTAAAACTAAATTTTACGTCAGCCTCTTCATTTCTTCCTGTGTAGAGTATGACAAGGATACACTGTTGTAAAATTAAATTCTAGATTCAGAGAATCCTGCCAGAAATGACACCAGTATTAATATGAAGCAAAGTTTTATTTTTTAAATATTATTCAGGATTGCAAAACATTATAAAACATCATTTAAGAATTTGTTCAAGTCTTTTTTATTTCAGCAATAATGATTAGTATTCTGTATGCTTATTATGGTACGGCACTTGGTTGCTGCGTCCTACGACCGGTCGATTGGTCGCGCATTCTCGATTGCGTTTTTATTTCCATACAAATGTTTACATTTGCTGAGAACGGCTGTTTATTTTGGGTCGTATGTAAATATTGGCACGTGTTCGCATTGATGGATTGTGTTTTGATTGGTCCCGCGTATGCACTAAACTTTTCCGTACATTTACAGCATAATTGTGCATTAAGTATTTCTTCAGTTGATGGCTTCGGTCACTCTTTTTGATTTTAATAAATACTAGTTAAGGTTCATGGATTGGTCCGAGATTTGGATTCGGACACGTAAGGAGCTTAAAAAAATATATACATATTAAAAATAAATTCATTAGTTACTATGCATTTCTCTTGCAAAATATTATATAAAAAACGTAATTTTAATAAAATTAAGTCAATAATAAATTGTAATGAATGGCCTCATTCTTACTCAACATACAAAATAAGATATCGGAACTCCCTAGTGCCTAAATATGGAGAATTGCGATTATAATAGTATAGTCTATTAAAGAAAGACAAATGCAAGTGGGTGAATGAATCACTACGAACGCATCAGTGATTCACTCCACTGGTGTCTGTAATACACGCTGTTCATTTGTTTCTTGGAATGTGAATTTTGCTTTCATACGTTGTTTTAATTCTTATTTTGTGATTAATGACAAGTGTAGGACCATGCAACGCAAAAATGTGACAAAAAACAAATCAACTAGTGACACACAAGGCAATCTGTCCCTCGCGCAAATTTTGGCGCGAGTTATATTATAAATTTATATCAGTTCTATAAACGAGTTGTGAATCGAGTCCTTGAAGTTTAATTCCTTTTTTGGTTCCGTAACCACAATATCTAACGAGCATGAAAATATAATAAAGGGAGTGATAAAATCTCTTATCTATTAGACAAGTCCGTCCGTCTGTCTGTGGTGCTGTTTCAGCGGCCAAACCGTAAGAGATAGATAAAGAGAATATTTAAGTTATAAGTTAAGAATAGTCTGATAAGACTACAAACCGGATTTGAGTAACGTAGCACTTCCGGTTTTCGAGAAATCAGGTTTTGGTGAACATTTGGTTCACTGGTTTGCTAGTTATTCTTAATTCTATTTTTGCGTCTCTCCTTTTTACTGAAATGTTTGCGAAATTTATTACTTAGTTCTTGAGACAGCTTTTAATTCCCGATTACCACACAAAATAATGTAGGTTTAGCAACTAACCAATTAGGTGCAGAAAGGAAAATTACAAATGTTTTCAAATAAATGTTTATTTACACAATGATGATGCGAATGAAGATAATTAACTAGCTAGCTGTAATGATGATGGTTACTATAGAACATTTGCTTTTTTAATTCCTTGATTTAATTATGATCGATATAGTACGCCGGGTTTCATGGTGTCGCCGACTCGAGACGTCCCAGGTTCGAGTCCCGGTGGGGGCAGATGTTTGTGTGATGAATACGAGCATTTGTACTCCAGTCATGGATGTTTAATATGTATTTCTATATAAATATGCTTATATATGTACAGTATATGTATTCTATCCGTTACCCTAGTATCCCATAACACAAGCCTTACAGTGCTTACTTTGGGGCTAGGCTAATTGGTGTGTAAAAAAAACAATATTCAGCAATTTGTAATTTAAATTCAGTAGTAGTCAGTAGTAACGTAACCTATAAGGTAATTTTCATTAATTATGCACGAGATTTTGTAATTTTTGTATAATTATCCCTTCTGTGATGTGCAATACACATACCTACATAGTTAAAGTTTGTAGTTGTACGTAGGAATAGGCAATAAAAAATACATCACCACAGCAGACACATTTATTATATCGTATACAGGAAAGTAATCATGAATTTAGGCGTGAATCTCTGCTTCTATTGACAACAAGCTTACGGAAGGTTATTTCTTACAAGAGATTTTATAAAAGTACTTAAGTAAGCTAAGTAGTTCAAGGACAGTTGGCTCTTGGTCTTTATTTCTAATACAGAAAAAAACAATTGATCGTAGGACAACAATCAATTGAGTAGTCAACTAAATTGAGCAGTTTCTTTTTTAGCAGCATGTCAACACGACGCTAAGATATGACTTAATTATTGTTTAACAGTGACCATCAGTCCGCGATTCGCTTAGATGCAGTCTACAGATTTGTTCTTGGGCTTGTATTATACGAGTACATAAACCTTATTATATTATTCTAGCTGATGATAAACACCGTATCAAAACTAACTCGGAAAATAAGTGAATTTCAGACTATCTTATACCAAATAATAAATAATATGAATTAAAAAAAAAAGAGCGAGCCTTACAATAGTCGCGTATGATGTGTAACATTTGATTAGTAAAGAAAGAAATAAAACCTACTACAAAAAGAATAAGCCGTTTGAACATTATGTTCTAAAATCAAATCAAATAGCGCGCGCTTTCGCGACTTCCTGTACACACTTCCGTCCCATTTTACGAAATCACTCCCACAAATTGCAGGAAAGGGAGAGGAAAGATGTTACATATCAAAAAGTTGCAATTATCTCTTTAACATCGTTAGGTTTTTAAAAGACGAAAGAAAAGCATACGGAATTTTCATTCAGTTGCTAACTTCAAGGGCGGATGGAAAAACTATCAATTGTTATTATTTTAAGATCCACGCAGGCGGTTGATACTTGTGACAACTGCAAATTGCTTACTATTAATGGTTTATTGAAAAAGGAATTTTCGTAAACTATTGTAGTTGATCAGTAGGCAATTGGTGTTTCAGAACCAATACCTATTACTACATACAGCGTAAGGAAGCTGTGAGATGTGTTTAAAAAATGACACTGACCGTAGAAAGCACACGAAACAATGATCGCTGTACTTACATGTCAAAGTTTTTTTTTATTATAATTACATCTGAGGCCTTCTTTCTGGATGAAATAGAAAGATTTTGCTATGCACCACCACGCGGGTCCAGATTGGATTGGTGGATACATGTTAAAGGTTCATTCCCACGCGTAGTTGCTTTATAAATAGGATGCAGTGAATGAAAATTGATCGGCGGCGGAACTAGGGCTCGCGAGGGCCCCGCGATCCGCCGCGATTGATTCACATCGATCGTTACATTACAGAAATGTACTTGTAAAAGTATCATGTATTTTACTCACACTAACACGCTTTCGAATAACTTAGGAGTGTACTCACCGTGGCTCTTATGAAACGATTATAAAATTAGTTGAATTAGATTTCTGTATTTATATCAATGGTCTACTTTTTATTATTACCAGCTGTTGCAACAAAGGAATAAATTATTTTTAGGATGGAGAAAATTGTTTTGAGTATTTTATTACCTGGTGGTATAGGGACGAGGACGGGGAAAGTTAACAAAATTCTCTTTAGTCCGTCAGATTAGATTATCAAAAATAAATTTAACGTTTAATTTGTTCTTTATCAATCAACCAAGAATTACAATGTTAAAGCGCGTCAAAGTTTAAATTGGGAGGGGGGACTCATATCGTTCCCGCTCCAGTCATGCGACATTTCAAATCATATATCTGTAATGTTTACATTGTGTGAATATAGAAAAAAATACTGGTCCATTTGCATCCAAATTTTTGACTATCTCCCTGATAGACGAAGGGAAGAAATTTAGTCATTCCTATTAGAAAATAATGGCAAACAAGTTTATTGCCTGCTCATACCACTTAAGCGGCCATCATAGCCTATGGCGGACAGAAACTAGACATCACCCAAATGTAGAGTTGGTTCAATGTGATGGAGCTGTAAAGTTATTTCCCAATGTGGGTGTAAGAAGACCTTTCTTCTCACCTGGCGCTCGTTATTCCAGAAAACGCCTATTCAAGCAGAAAATCCGCATTGCCCTACCGATTTAAACTGTTTTATTCAAATTGACTTATTGAAAGCTCTTTTTCATCAACAAATATTTTTTTCCGATTAAGACCTCTTTTAGCTGATGAGAAGAACGTTGCGCAAGAAACTCATTAGCGTTTTACAGAAGTAGAATTGTTTACATAAAATCGTGACACTCGCTACGAATATAACGTTCACACATATTTTGATTGTTGGGTCATACAGTATAAATACAAATAATGTTTATATTAAGTATAATTTGATGATATTTCGATAGTAAAGTAGTATAGAACAGACTCGTGACCTGAAATGTTAATGTTTTTTCAGCGTGGGCAAGCTGAACCTGGTAGACCTGGCGGGCAGCGAGCGCCAGCGCAAGACGGGCGCGTCCGCAGACCGGCTGCGGGAGGCCGCGCGCATCAACCAGGCGCTCTCCTCGCTCGGCAACGTCATCTCCGCGCTCGCCGAGAACAGTCCGCACGTGCCCTACAGGTATGCTGCACTACACTACGCATCATCATCATCTCCCCCGTGAGAAGATGCCATCCGCCTGGAATACCTCTAGAGGCACTCGCTAATTCTCGGTTTGTGGTCCCCTTAGGATCTCGCCGTCCCCAAACCCGGTGACGCTGTAAAGGTCATATGCGATCAACAGCATACAAACTCAAAAAAAAAATATCAGCCTATTAAAATCCCCACTGCTGGGGCACAGGCCTTCCCCATGGATGGAATAGTGAGATTGGAGCTGCATTTGCAGTTGTTCGCACCCACCATTCAGGATTGGGCCATGACCTACCACCCGGAGGGTGCTAACGACTGCAGATTCAGCTAGGACCAACGGCTTAACGTTACTTCCGAAGCACGGACGAGCACGAGATAGTAAAGTTTTGGTCACCCATTCAATGACAGACCACTGCGAAAGTTGCTTAGCTTCAACGATCGCAGCCGAACGCGCCAACCACTTGCGCAGTCGATCGAGCTCCTCATGCACATATAGGAAGCGGAAAACTTTTTGAGCAAAACTGCAGACTAATAAACTTGCGTGCAGTAAACCTTTTGTATGTAAAAATTGTACTGCACAATCTTCGTCTATGGTTTTTGCTCAAGAAGTTTGTTGGGGTGAAGGTATACCAAGGAAATACTATTAACTCCAATCTATACTAAATAATAAACTAAAATTATCTTTTACAAAGACATTAATACATGTCAGTTCTTATCACGTGCTTAAATGGCAACGAATTATTAATTATATTATGCGTGAGCTTCTAACTTCTAACGTAACGTTGACGCTTTGCGAAAAAGGGGTACCCCCTTTATCGCAACGCGTCAATTTAATGTTAATCATTTTTATTTGCTAATATGGAGACAGAAAGAGACCGCATAAGAAATCAAATCTAACTTGTCCATATTTTGTAATGGGGGGGGGGGGAGTAAACCTTGCCGATTTCCTTGTCAGCTGTGTATTAGCGAATCAATAGCATAAGATGTAAAACTCTGTGACTGTTACATGCCCAAAATCCCTGTGTTCATAACTGGACAGAGTCGATATCGATAGTACATCACGATGTGTCGCATTATGTTTGCGTATGCGCAGGGACTCGAAGCTGACACGCATCCTGCAGGACTCGCTGGGCGGGAACAGTAAGACCATCATGATTGCCAACATCGGCCCCGCCTCCTATAACTACGACGAGACCGTCACCACGCTGCGATATGCGCACCGGGCCAAGGGTAAGACACACATACAGCTCGCAGGACCCGCCGCATACAGTGTATAGTTCGATTCAAACATTATGGCGGTTGAGGTTCAGGTTTCGTCAAAATCCTGCTCGGTGCCCGAAACAAGTTGAATTGTTTTTATTAGGTAATTTTTTTAGTAATGTATAAAATTAGCATAACTGAGAAAATATAATTAAACTGGATACTACTGCCAGCTACTGAAGAATGGCAGGACGTATTGGTATACGTCAGTTTTACTTGAACAGTTTGCTTTTAGTTTCACTACTCGCTACTAGTGTTGATAAACACGCTGCAGGCGTTCCGTAGTTAGTAAATATCCCTAATCCTGTCAGTCACTTGATTTCTCAGGGTAAATCCTTATACAAGACCTCCCCTTTGTATTGGCTCCGTGGTTTAACCGTGATCTTTATTTGTACAGCAATCAAGAATAAGCCTATCCGCAACGAAGACCCGAAGGATGCGAAGTTACGCGAGTACCAGGCGGAGATCGAGCGCCTGCGCGCCCTCATTAGCCAACGCCGGCGCCCCGCCCGCCCGCGCGCCCCGCCCGCCCCCGCGCCCGCTCAAGCCGCCCCGCCCCGTGAGTATCCCGCCTCGTACTGAGTACCGGGCAGAGATCGAGCGCCTGCGCTCCCTCATCAGCCAGCGCCGGAGCTCCGCCCGCCCCCGCCCGCCCGCCTCCGCGCCCGCCTAAGCCGCCCCGCCCCGTGAGTATCCCGCCCCTTACTGATACCAGGCAGAGATCGAGCGGCTGCGCGCCCTCATCAGCCAGCGTCGGCGCTCCACCCGCCCCGTGAGTATCCCGCCTCGTACTGAGTACCGGGCAGAGATCGAGCGCCTGCGCTCCCTCATCAGCCAGCGCCGGCGCTCCGCCCGCCCCCGTCTGCGCCCGCCCGCGCCCGCCTTGCCGCCCAGTCCCGTGAATATCCCGCCCCGTACTGAGTACCGGGCAGAGATCGAGCGCCTGTGCGCCCTCATCAGCCAGCGCCGGCGCTCCGCCCGTCCCCGCCCGCCCCCGCGCCCGCCTTGCCGTCCCACCCCGTGAGTATCCCGCCCCATACTGAGTACCAGGCAGAAATCGAGCGCCGGCGCCCCGCGTTCCCCCACGCCCGCCCAAACCGCCCCGCCCCGTGAGTAGCCCGCCCCATATTGAGTACCAGGCAGAGATCGAGTGCTTGCGCGCTCTCATCAGCCAGCGCCGCATCATCAGCATCCAATAAATTAAACTATCATGATTCAATTATTTCTGTCAATTTCAAGTAAAAAAATTTCGTTATCATTTACAGCGAAAGAAGAAGAAACGGAGAGTATAGAAAGCGAACATTTATTAGCTGCATCAACAATCGAGCAGGAGAAATGCAAAACCGAAGAGTTGGAGCAGCAGATCAAACTATTGGAGGATCGACTGGTCCAGGGTGGTGGGGGGAAGGACCTTATCAATAATCTAAATGAAACGCAGCTTATATTGGAGCAGAGGAACATGGAGATAGCCGAGCGGAAGAAGAGAGAGGTTGAGATGCAGCAGAAGATCGACCTAGAGGAAGAGACCACGACGATTGTCACCAACACGTTTGCTACCTTACAACAAGAAGTTGACCATAAAACGCAGAGGTATGTAGATATTGTGGTGTGTACTATTTTATCGATTTGAGGCGATTCAATGTAAGAAATAAATAAAATACACTTTTAACTTTAGCAAGTTTCACGGAGTACATTTAAAGTTCTTTTCTATTCAATTCAATTCGATTTTTTATTGTCTCCATGGTTTAAAAGGTCTTAAAATATAACGCATTAAGTACAAACATGGAACCTCGTTGGGGCACTACAATATAATACATACACTACAATGTAATCGGAAATGTCAATTAATATTTAATACAAATTTTTATTCGTTGCTTGCCATTTTAACATGGCACACTCCCTTCAACTTTCGGCAGCGACCACTTTCCTACATTTCCTAAAACTGTACTAAAATCGAATCCCAGACGTTTACCTTGATTTCAATATAAAGTAAACAATGATGACGAAGACAGCTGGGAGACGTTAACAAAGCTAGTCAGATAAAAAAGTACGAAATACCAAGATCCTTAGTAACAGATGTACGTACGTGTGAAAAGCAAGGACAAGCAAGTCTAAAAACTACGAAAAGCAAAGGCGCCAAATGCGAGCCTTGTGGGACGCCCGAAGTAACTGAAGTACAAGACGAGAGATGTCCCTGCATACAAGCTGACTTCTTTTATCCAGATAAGAATATCAGCCATCTTAACAAGTTGCCATGTACTTCATAGCTTTCCAACTTCTGTCTTCTCTTCTTTTGGCAAAGTAACCGGTGGCATACCTTATCGAAAGCCTTCGAAAAGTCAGTACATATGGAATACACCTTCTAGCAAAAGCAGAACCCAAATAAGATTTACATTCCAAAAGACGGCTTACTGTTGATCTATTAGCCAGAAAAATTGCTGGAAATGGAATAAAGTGTCTCATATATTAGATATATAGCTTGACAAAACAAGACAAAATACTGATAGGTCTATAGTTACTGATTCGCTCTCTGCTACCTGACTTACATATGGGTATAACATTATGCTGTCTTCCAACGACTAGGAAAAATACCACGCTCTAGTGATTTATTAAAGAGTATGAATGAAGGAAGGCTAAGCTCATCGCAGCAGCTCTTCATTAAGTGAGGAGGGATTTGATCTGGGCTAGCACCCTTACCATTATCAAGAGATCATATTTTTGCTTTAATGCTACCATAGTTCAGCCTTGCGTCTGACAAGTACAAACCACGACGAACTGTTTCGTCAGCAGAGTAGAGATAACAATCCATTTTTTCACAGACTGAACCAAAGTATTCAGGAAAGATTTCACATCTTCTTCATCTCCTGCGCTTTTGATGATGTGACGTCACCATGTGTCATGGTTCGGGGTATGCCAGGGGATTTTCTTATGTCGTTTATATATAAGTTTTTAACATTATGCTTGACAGAAATTCAAAATTCTTTATTGCTGCAACATGTTCTAACGTAGATCTTAGAAAAAATGTAATAAATGGATGGAAAAAGTTTCATCAGATTCAAGATATGACCTTAGCATTTGTTCAGGAGGAAAGTAAGGGAGGGCAGGACTTTACCAGAAAGGAAATTGTTGGTTCTATTACTCGCTAAAGGTGTATGTTTTAAATGATTTGTTTCAATATCTCGTAGAGTTTACTGATGAAGTCATCAATATTATCATAATAATAATAATAAAAACTCTTTATTTTACACCACAAAAAAAAAAAAATATAAAACATACATAATGGCTGCTTAAAGTGTAAAAATGGGCGGTCTTATCGCTAAGAGCTATTATATTATTATATAATAGTATCATATGGAACCCATACTATAATATCCACGCTGACAGAATTGAACGAATTAATCGCTCCTTTACCAGATACTTAGCGTTCACTTGCAAGGACATAACTACACGTCACTCGTATGAAGAGAGACTAGGTTTTTTCAATATTTTGAAACTAAAGAATCGCCGCATACTTCACGACTTATGCTTTTTACATAAACTTTTAAATGGTTTAGTTGAGTCAGAGTCCTCGATAGAAAATTTTACGTTCAGAGTCCCTCGACCTAATTCCCGTTACGTTTGTAGGGATTTATTTTATATTCATCGATGTCGAACCAATCTTGGCAAGAGTTCCCCAGCTAATCGCATATGTATAAAATATAACGAAATTATCAATGTTTATGGCAATAATCTGGACATTTTTTGCAACAGCTTTCACACATTTAAAAAAAAATTAGTAAAGATTTTGGCTCAGTGGTCTGAGTCGTGACGGGTTGACACTTACAATTCACCGATCAAGTGCAAGATGCTGGTGCTGCACGATATATCCTATTAAGTTTAACACGTTATTACTTGTGAGTGTTGACTCGTGCTTGCGAGCCTGACACACTGGTTATTTTTTTTTAGTTTATAGGATGTAATGCAAGAGATGGCATTTGTTATAAAGTTAATTGGAATTACTGTGTATACCTTTTATTAAAATCATACAAAATATTTTCAATAATAACGTTGTAAAAATTATGTAATGTATGTATTTTGTTGGTGTACCATAATAAAAAAAAAAAAAAATGGAGCAATCCAAGTATTCATTCCAGTTAACAGAGTTCAGATCATAACCTGTCTGTAAACACGCTATAATTTTTTCTCGGCATATTTGAAAACTCAGGTTTTATTTTCATATTTTACTGATATACGCAACAGAATTATAAATATCAACTTTCACTATACGGAGTCGCTATACACAAATAAATGTAATTTTAATCGATTATCTGTTGTTGATGTTGACTCTGTAAATAATAATCCAGGAAGAAAAAAATAGTTCTTACTGAGTTTCTTGTCGTTTCTTCTCAGTATAATTTCTCCAGTCGTAAATTTAAGAACCGATGGCGTAGCATCTAGACATTCATGAGTGCTCGTAACAGCATAGACTGAACAAATGTTATCTGCTTCGTGGTCAGGTTAAAAAAGTGCCTATCGAAGTACGCGTGCGTGCGCGAGGAGACGGCGGAACAGCGCGAGGCTCACGACACGGAGCGCCGGGAGCTGGAGGCACTGCACTCGGCGCTGATAGCGGAGCTGCGGCGCCGCCTGCTGCTGGCCGACAGCTTCACGCCGCGCGCCGCAGCCGCCGCGCTGCCCGTGCGGTACAACGACGACACCGACCTGTGGGAGCTGCCGCCCAGGTATACCAACCTTCCAGCTCTATACCAGGCGGTGGCAGTCTCAGCTAGCAACGACCGCAACTACGCGCAGGTTTCAGGACTCCGGTACGAATCAATATCAAATATGGATAGTTTAATTCGATTTCAATACGCGTTAAATGTCAAGAAGTCTTGTATGTTTGAATAGCGCCACAACCGACGTACGAGATTTAATAATCTTTCATACTAAACTTGAACAGATGATGCGTATCGTAAAATGCATATCATCATCATCATCATCAGCCTATTAATGTCCCCACTGCTGGGGCACAGGCCTTCCCTATGGATGGGTTAGGGAGATTGGGCCATGACCCACCACGCGGGCCCAGTGCGGATTGGCGGGTGCTAACGACTGCAGATGCAGCCGGGACCAACGGCTTAACGTGCCTTCCGAAGCACGGAGGAGTTCGAGATAGTGAATTTTCGGTCACCCATCCAATGACCGACCACTGCGAAAGTTTCTTAACTCCAGCGATCGCAGTCGAACGCGCTAAACACTTGCGCCATCGAGCTCCTCTTAATGCATATGATTATGATAAATTTAATTTAATTCTTAATGAACTAAGAACCTCAAAAAATCAACTGAAAATAAGAATTCATGAATAAAACAAAATTTTCAAAAAATCCATTAATAGAAAATTTTACTTAAAAAAACGACGCCACCAGGTAGCATACGGGACTCGAAGCCGCTTTCCAGACAGATGTGCTGACAAATAGATTGCTACCGCGGCCTCAATGGCCTTGAATTTCTTCTAGTATTTCATAGCATGCGCCATATTTTCGCATTGTAGGTAATCTACAATATTTAACATAATTTATAAGTATTAAACATTTGAAAACAGAAATAGCAATTGCAGTTTCCTTCGGGATAGCAGAGGGTGCTGCCTGGTCAAGTGGTTTTTTTTTTCTAGTAAAATTTTCTTTACATTTACTTTTTAGTTCAATTATAAAACAAAATATACCCAAATTTACCAATAATTCAGAGAAGGATGTTTTCAAGAACTTTTTAATGAAAAAGATTTTATATATTTTATGCGATTGTTTCCAGCAGCGGCGCCGAGCCTCTAACGTACCGGCCGACGGCGGCGGGCACCCGGCGGCCACAGTGCTCTGTCTCACTCGCACCCGCCGCCCCCCCGCGGCGCCGCCCCCACAACCTGCTCGACCTCGCGCCCCTCCCGCTGCCCCCGACCGCGCGCCTCTACCGCGCCCCCAGCGGACAGGTACCGGCCACACCCGCCGCCCCCACAACCTGCTCGACCTCGCGCCCCTCCCGCTGCCCCCGACCGCGCGCCTCTACCGCGCCCCCAGCGGACAGGTACCGGCCACACCCGCCGCCCCCACAACCTGCTCAACCTCGCGCCACTCCCGCTGCCCCCCACCGCGCCCCAAGCGGACAGGTACCGGCCGCACCCGCCGCCCCCACAACCTGCTCGACCTCGCGCCACTCCCGCTGCCCCCCACCGCGCGCCTCTACCGCGCCCCAAGCGGACAGGTACCGACCGCACCCGTCGCCCCCACAACCTGCTCGACCTCGCGACCCTCCCGCTGCCCCCCATCGCGCGCCTCTACCGCGCCCCCAACGGACAGGTACCGGCCGCACGCTGTGTCTGTCGCCCTCCCACTACCCCTCCACCGCGCCCCCAGCGGACAGGTACCGGCCGCACCCGCCGCCCCCACAACCTGCTCGACCTCGCGCCACTCCCGCTGCCCCCCACCGCGCGCCTCTACCGCGCCCCCAGCGGACGAGTACCGGCCGCACGCTCTGTCTGTCTCACTCGCTCACCTCGCATACAAACTATACACTACTATTGAAGCAAACGTCACAAAGACTGACAACTTACAAATATTTCGAAGCATAGATCACGATCGTCAGTCTTTTTATTAATGTCCCAACTGCTGAGCTACAGGCCATCCTTATGGATAGAATAAAGAGTATGAGCAGCACGTCCGCCTAGTGTAGATTGGTGATTGCTAACGACTGCAGGTGCAGATGGAATAAACGACTACGTGCCTTCGTACTTTTCATCAGATTATTTTATTAGAGATCATTATTAATTATATCATATTATAATGTTTTTTTGTTGTTGTGTTACTGACTATACACCACAGACTATTATTCATGTCAACAAATTTTTTTTCCACCACACCAGCGCGACGACCTACATATCTAAATGCGTTAAAATTCAAAATTTGTTATATAAACGAGCAATGATGTTCTCAGGTGCCGGAGACCGTGGTGAAGAAAGAGCCGGAGATAGTGGAAGCGAGACGTGCGACGGGTCGGGCGCGGCCCCCCTCGGCCCTGCACCGCCTCGGCACCGCCGGCGTGCGGTAGGTGTGTCCCCCACCCCTCTACCCCCACCATTCCTTAGCCCTGCCACCCACCTGTCCTCTGCGACTGCAAGGACCCGACGTGAAAAGCGGTCGAATATACTGCCCCTATTAGTAAATAAAACGAATGCAATCCTCGATGGTAAAAAAGAAAATCCTCAAAGGAGTGAGGGTCAACCGACGAACGGATCAAAGAATGCGGTCAGTTTTCCTGAAGACGGAGGAAACACGAAGGCGCCGCGTCTCCGACTGAAATCCGCGAGCATTTCACTGCGTCGACGAGGCGCGGTCTCCCTGCCCCTCCCGCTCCCGACTCGAACGAAAACAGAGTTTTTTACGCTTTTTTATTTAAAATCTCGAGGTGTATCGGTAGTTCTATTATGAACGCTGTACGTATGAGTTAGCTCAGCTATAATGCGATATTTTTATACGATGCCGGACTAGCGGCTCTGTGGATGCAACAGACCGCTGGTGTACTCAGTGTCACAAATTCCAGTGAGTGTAACGATGATCTCAACCGTATTATTCCCGCGGCGGCGGCGGCGCTTCATGTATTTATTTATTTTTAGGTAAATATGTAATATATAAATGTGCGCGCTGCTCGCCTCAGTGTTAGCGAATTATGTTCCGGATACCTGTCGAACATGCCAAATGTTTTTATATCCGAATTTTTGGTTGTTTAGTCAATTTTGGTTGTCGTTTGTTTTCTACGATTTTATTTTAACGTTGTTATATTTTTTAAAATTTTATTTTGCGCTTCGTTTTGGTTTGCATTGAAGCGAGTGATATTAGGTAGTTAGTCTATTATGAATATTGTAATATTTAAAATTCGCATTGTATATAATGATGAATTGAAAGTATGTATTTATAATGTGTAGCCCGTTGTCTCTCTACGGGATCGTCTGTTCGATTCGATCCTGATGGTGTGTACGTTCAAATGTGTTACCAAAGATGGAAACAGTCCATTCCACTGAGCTCGTCCCACTAGTGATGTGATCCCACTGGCCCACTAGTGATGATATTGAAAGTGATCATGTTCCTTTATTTGTAAACTTCGTTAGTGAATGCGTTTTATTATTTGAAGACACGATTTCTAGTCAGTAACTCTTGTAAACAAATATTGTAAATAATAATTATTATATTGTAGGTATTTAAAAAGTATATAGACATAGTGTAGGTAAGTTGCTAAATTCGCACAATACTTTTTGAATACCGGTTGTCGTAACGTTGTTTAGTTGCATTATTAACAATGTTCGCTCAGTTCATGCCAAAAACTCATGGTAGTTGCAGATGTCCGTTACCAAATCTCAGTTTCGCTTGTGATTTATTTAGTTATTATTTACGCAGAGCTATAATTTATTAAAAATCATATTCGATCGATGTATATTTTCAATTACGTACTGTTAAAATTATTTTCGTTTAAAAGAATGAAATCATGTGATAAATATATGAATATATTTGAAAGCGCTAGTCAGCTGTGCCGCATACAAGCTTATACTCACCAATAAAGTATTATAAATTTTATTTGTAGTTTTCTTTATCTCATACCTTCGGCCTGTCCCAGATCAACTAATTTGATTCCCAATTTGCTCTCCTTGATTTGTAGCAACATTGAATGAAAATGTTTAATTTAATAAAACCCCAATTAATAAAACAAATCAATCTAATCAAAATAAAACCAAGCAAGACGAAATCTTTATGTAGGTCCCAAGTGAATGCCATCATGGTAAGTCTTTAGGTAACACGGTTGTATTTGCTCTTGTGGGCCCTGTATCTTGAGCTGGACGAAGGAATGCAACATTTTCAGCTCAAATAAAAAAAGGTGAAACAGAGTTAGAAGGGTAAGCGTCGCCTTGTGATGTCAGACGCCATCAGCGCCCTATCCATATTATTGGTCCATGTCCATACTAATATTATAAATGTAAACATGCGTTTATTTGATTGTTAACTCTTCACGCTTAAACCATTGAACCGATTTAGATGAAATTTGGTTCAGAGATAGTTTGCGGGTTCGCAGATGTCATCATATAAGGGGGTGATATGGCGGGGTGGAAGTTTCTATCGTAAACCAAATTTTTACATGCATATAAATCCGCGAGCACCCCCATGTATATTGTGATTTGGATTAAAAGAAAATAAGAATGTAAAGTTATATAATGCTATAACAAAAAAATCTTCAATTATTTCTGTTTTTGTTGACATGTTGGTGACTCTCCGGGACCACCTTTGTTATGGTGTGGCGTTGTCATGGGCGTAGCTGGGGGGGGGGGGGCTTACTCCCAACCCCCAAGCCCCCCCTAGAGAAACGGTATTTATTTACGCCGATCGCCCTAGATCGAGTCTCTTACTCCCTAACTCATGTTTCACCAGGGTTGTTTCAGCGTAAGGGTCCCTTAACATTGGGTAGTGTAAATGCCGTTTCTCTGCCCACCCTAAATTGAGAGTGTTGAAAAAGACTACCTAAGTACTATTTTTTAAACATACAATTTATTACTACACGAATGTTAGTTGAACCGTGATAACTAAGCAGTTGAAATTTTTCACAGATAATATATTTTTGTTGCCGCTTTAACAACTAATAATAGATTATAATGAATATTTAAGGGAGGCTTGCGAGCTGCAAAAGGCCTCCTTAAACACGTATGTTGTACCCATGCAATATGTGTTTTTTTTTGCCGTTGTTTGCTCTATATTAATAACTGCAACAGGTAGATATCTAAAATATATACCTACTTGTATATTCACTTTAAAAAATAATGTCGTTAAAACTTACAACAATCGAGCTTATTCAACTATCGTATCGGTATCGTTGCACCCCTAATAGTAATTATCTTACATAAGATAAAGGAGATTGCTCAGCTTCCATACATGTTTGGCCTAAAGACCAATAATAATGAAAAATTGTTTCCTAGATTCGAAATTATATATAAATTACTGTAGAAACGAATATTATTGACGGACACCCCTGAAAACTTCTATAAACCATATACACTGAGCATATTAAAATAATAAAAAACAAATAAGTTATATAGTAAACTAGGGAAATCAAGTCAAGTACCGAAATGATGGATTAGATTCAGGTATATGGAGCATGTAGATTAACAGATAGTTGCCTGTTTTTAAAGTTTATGCATAAGAGTAACTTTTAAGATCAGGTGTCATTTCCGGTTATAATAAGGTACTCTGTGACAGAAACTGTGTGATGATTGTGAATGAGCCACAGATTAGAGAGAATTTTTAAACTCTCGTAAACCAAATAAAGCTAAGAGATTTAGGTTCTATAGCCATATATTCAGTAGTTTCATTATTTTTGTTATGTGTTTAAGATAACCATATTTTAGATATTTAGTGTATCACACCTTATAATTTTGTTCTGTTTTCCAATTTCATAATATAGGTTGTTCCACTTTTTTGCAATTAATTAGTCTACTTAAAACAAATAATATTACACTCCTTAATATTACACTCGCAATCATCATCATATCAGCCGTATGACGCCCACTGCTGGACATAGGCCTCCCCCAAGGATCTTCACAACGATCGGTCCTGTGCTGCCCGCATCCAGCGTTTTCCCGCGACCTTCACCAGATCGTCGGTCCACCTTGTAGCGGGTCTTCCCACTGAGCGTCGTCCGGCACGCGGTCGCCATTCGAGACCCTTTCCGCCCCAACGGCCATCGATTCTCCTCGCTATGTGTCCCGCCCACTGCCACTTCAGCTGGGCTATTCTTCGAGCTATGTCCGTGACTTTAGTTCTCCTACGGATCTCGTCATTTCTGACTCGATCACGCAGGGAAACACCAAGCATAGCTCTCTCCATTGCCCGCTGGGCGACCTTGAACCGTCCTATGAGACCCATAGTAAACGACCACGCCTCACTGCCATAGGTCATTACTGGCAACACACACTGGTTAAAGACTTTCGTCTTAAGGCACTGAGGTATTTTGGACGCGAAGATGTTCCGCAGCTTCCCGAACGCTGCCCATCCGATTTGGATTCGACGAGAGATCTCTTTCTCGAAGTTGGACTTACCTAACTGGATTGTGTGTCCTAGGTAAACGTAGTGGTCAACGACTTCAAGTGTAACGTTCCCAACATTAACTGGAGCGGGTGCAACATGGGCGTTGAACATGATTTTCGTCTTATCCATGTTCATCTTAAGACCCACTTGCTGGGATGCGTCACTGAGATGTTCGAGCATGGTGTTCAGGTCTTCCAAGGTCTCTGCCATTAGGACTAAGTCATCGGCAAATCGAAGGTGTGTCAGGTACTCGCCGTTGATGTTAATGCCGAGTCCTTTCCAGTCCAGAAGCTTAAAAATATCCTCCATCGCAGCAGTGAACAGTTTCGGAGATATAACGTCTCCCTGTCTCACCCCTCGCTGTAGTTGGATAGGATTAGAGCTCTGATTCTGTACTCGGACCGACATAGTGGCGTTTTGGTATAGGTACTTCAACACTTCGATATACCTGTAGTCCACTTGGCACCTCTGGAGAGACTGCAGCACCGCCCAGGTCTCGATCGAATCGAAGGCCTTCTCATAGTCCACAAACGCTAAGCAAAATGGCCGATTATACTCTTCGGTCTTCTGTATAATCTGCCGCAGCGTATGGATATGGTCTATGGTACTAAAGCCTTTTCGGAAACCGGCTTGTTCGGGAGGCTGGAAGTCGTCGAGCCTGCGAGCGAGACGATTCGTAATGACCCTCGAAAACAGCTTGTAGATATGGCTCAGAATCGAGATGGGTCTGTAGTTCTTCAGTAGGGTCTTATCGCCCTTTTTGAAGAACAAAATCACCTCGCTTCTGCTCCTTCGGCGTTTTGCCCTGGTGGATGATGGAGTTGAAGAGCTTCTGGAGGGCTAAATACCGGCGTACCGCCCGCTCTCAGAAGCTCTGTTGTGATTCCGTCATCTCCCGCCGCCTTGTTGTTTTTAAGCTGTTTGAGGGCAATTCTAATCTCGTACAGGCTGACGTCCGGGATATCCTTGGTATAATGTCGGGTAAGCTTGGCTCTAGGATCTCGAGCTCTGCTTTCGCCTGGTGTTTTGCTGGAATATAACTGCCTATAGAAACTCTCAATCTCCCTCAGGATTTCAGGAGTCGATGAAATAATACTACCGTCCTCAGTTTTCAGCCTCGTCAGTTGACTTTGCCCAATAGACAGATCTCTAGCGAACACTTTGGAGCCTTTGTTCCGCTCTATGGCCCCTTTAATACGCTTGGTATTAAAGTGGCGAAGGTCGCTCGTCAACGACTTCGAGATCTGTTTATTAAGCTGTCTATAACGAAGGGCATCCGCTGACTCCTGTAGTCTCATTTCATGTCTCTTATCCATGAGTTCGAGTGTGTATGCGGAGAGTTTCTTTAATTTGGTACGGCTGGTTTTAAAGTGTTTAGACCCTACCGTACGGACAGTATCCACCACCAGGTCGTTCAGATCGTCCACGTCTATGCTGTTCTCAAGGTACTCGAAGCGGTTCTGGAGCTCGAGCTGGAAGCGCTCGGGGTTTTGAATTTGGGTTGGCACCGGTCGGAGCGTTGATTTTATCAGTCGCGATCTTTCAAGCTTAACGTTGATATTCAATGTGCCTCTTACCATGCGGTGATCGCTTCCTGTCTTAACAGCGTTGATCACTGAGACATCATTGAATATTTGCTTCTTCATCGATATGATAAAATCAATCCCATTTTTGACCTTGCCGTCGGGACTTATCCAGGTCCATTTGCGGGTGACGGGCTTTCTGAAGAAGGAGTTCATCATATAGAGGTTCTCCCTCTCCATAAAGTCCGCCATCATCCGGCCCCTGTCGTTCCGTTCCCCAAATCTAAATTGCCCCACTCTCAGCTCGTCGCCGCAACGTTTCCCCAACTTTGCATTGAAATCCCCCATCACAATCGTGTAGTGGGTTTTGTGGCTATGCATGGCCCGAGAGATCTCCTCATACATAGCCTCCACTTCGTCATCGGTGTGTTTCGAGGTTGGAGTGTAGACTTGGATGACAGTCATCAAATATCGTGATGATATTCTGAGTACCAAGTACGCTACTCTACTCGAAACACTACCGATGGTCAGCACGTTGTTGACGAGGGACTTGTGGACGATAAACCCGACACCACCTACGGACTGTTGGTCGCCCTCCCAGAAGTACATCAAGTTACCGGAGTCCACAGTTATCGTGTCCTCTCCCTCTCTTCGGACTACAGATAACCCGATGACGTCCCAGTGTAACTTGCTGATAGCTTCTTCCAGCTCTGTCATCTTGGCATCGGTCCTCAGTGTGCGCGTGTTGTAGGTTGCCAGGGCCAGTATTCAGTTGTTATGGTAGCCGTGTCCTATCCGGGAATTCTTCGCACCCCCTGTCCCGCCGTTACCGTGGCCGCTACCGTAGCCAGGAATAGCGGGGACTAGGGGCCGTTTCATGTTGTTTCGCTTCATATGGGGGGATTTTGCCATAATCACCACGCTTGGCAGGCGGGTTGGCGATCGCAGTATACCGGTTCGCATAAGGAGATGCTGCTG